GTGACCCTCTGAGCTCAGACGCCTGCTGCACCTGCAGGTGTTTGGTCGGTTAGCTTCAGCTTCTGTCCACATGTGACTGGTTAGAGCTCATCAGAACCATCAGGTCCATTAACGTGTCTCTGCTGTGCTCAGATCGGCTACTGGAACGAGAAGCGGGGCTACGTGAACACGGCCGTCTACAAGCCGGTTCTGGAGGAGTTCCACGGCCTGCAGAACAGAACCTACGTGGTCACCACCATCCTGGTACGGTTCAGTTTATCTGCAGAGTTCTGCTCAGATGTGCTGAAACCCAAACAGAACAGAAAACACACAGCAGCAGAACATCTAGAACCCAACAGCCGGGTCCAGACTTAGAGAAGCTGCTGGACGCTGTCCAGTGGCTCAGAGTTTGATTGATTGATTGATTGATTGATTGGTTGATTGATTGATTGATTGATTGATTGATTGATTGATTGATTGATTGATTGATTGATTGATTGATTGATTGATTGATTGATCGTCTCCAGCAGTAGCATGCTGCTGATGATAGCCTCCTGACATGATGACCTGTTGGTGGGTTCAGGTTCTGCTACATGAAGGCTCGTGTTCTGGTCCTTCATCAAACGCTGATCTGAGTTCATGAAGCTGCTTCATTCAGCCGCACAGTCGTTCCTGACAGTCTGTGTTCCAGCTTTACTGCACAGGTCCTGTCAGCTCTCATACATGAGGAAGATAAGATGTAAGGAGCTGATCCTCACCAGGACCAGCAGCTAGAAGCAGGATGAGCATCACAGAGAGTGCAGTGAGGCCAGAACCAGACCCGATGTGTGTGTTTGGCCTGTTTAGATCCATCCCACTGTGAGCCGAGCAGAAGCAGGTGGTCTGGTGAGGGCAGCATCACATGAGGAGGTGTTGGGGAGCGTTTACTGAACACATGTTCCTGTGCACATGCTGCTGATCTCCTGTGAAGCTCCTCTCAGGCAACAGGCCCAGAGAGGAGCTGCAGTGAACTCACCTGCACTGCACCGCTGCTGCATAATGCATGAAGGCAGCAGGGCACTGAAGCACCGGCTTCATGGAGGCACCTGGAAAAACACAGCGGGCACGTCTACGGGATGCAGAGTAGCCACAGAAATCACATTAGTGACACACAGCAGGGCTGCAGGGGACAAGGAGGGACAGCAGAACTCAGTCAGCGTGTAACGTCCTCATCTGTCCTGCAGGAGGCGCCCTACATGATGCTGAAGAAGAACCACGAGCAGTTCGTGGGGAACGACAAGTATGAAGGCTACTGCGCAGAACTGGCCTCAGAAATCGCCAAACACGTGGGCTTCAGCTACCGGCTGGAGCTGGTGGGCGACGGGAAGTACGGCGCCCGAGACTCAGAGACCAAGATGTGGAACGGCATGGTGGGGGAGCTGGTGTACGGGGTGAGAACATCTGGAAGGTTCTGCAGGAAGCTAGAGATGTCTGTTTGGTCTACGGTTCTCCTATTAGCAAAACGTTCCTACAACGTTATCTACAGGTTCTGTTCATGTTTAAAAGCCTGAATCCAGGATCAAAGAACCTTTTCAGAACATTTCTCACTTTGTTTAAACATTCAGAGGATTCTGTCGGGTCATGTTCCACGACAACAAAAGAAGAACGTTCTGAAAGCAACGTTCTACACATGTTTTCCTGACGTTATCAAGACCTCAGGTGACTGTCTTTTAAAACGTTCCTATAATGTTACACATGAGCAAAGGTGGAACATTTTGCCCACAACGTGATGCCGTTCTCCTGTAAAACGTTCTCACAATGTTCTCTGCCAACAAAGGACGGACGTTCTCAATGCAACATGTGGTCTGTATAGAACGTTATCTTGCCTTTGAGCAGAACGTTCTGGGAACTAAAGACAAACCTCCTGTTGAAAACATTACTAGAACTCTGCAGAACCTTCTCAGAACTGTTATGCAACATATTTTTTTAATTAAAAATGAAACTCCTGAAGGCGTGTTTGGGTTCGAGTCGGAGGCAGACAGGAAGCGTCTGGCTGTGTGTGTGTGTGTGTGTGTGTGTGTGTGTGTGTGTGTGTGTGTGTGTGTGTGTGTGTGTGTGATGGAGCTCCAGATGTGGCCACTGAGCCTCCATGGACAGATGAGCAGAGACAGCTGGACAGATGTTTCACTGTCTGATGAACCCAGTGTTGAAGCTCAGCTGCTGTGTTTGGTTCTGCAGAAGGCCGACGTCGCCGTGGCGCCGCTCACCATCACTCTGGTGCGAGAGCAGGTCATCGACTTCACCAAACCCTTCATGTCTCTGGGCATCTCCATCATGATCAAGAAGCCCACCAAGTCCAAGCCGGGCGTGTTCTCCTTCCTCGACCCGCTGGCCTACGAGATCTGGATGTGCATCGTGTTCGCCTACATCGGCGTCAGCGTGGTGCTCTTCCTGGTGAGGCTGCAGACCAGGTGGAGGCACCTGGTGGGAGGTCCAGAACACCTCTTTACTGTGTTTGCTGGTTGGACTTCAATGGACCCAGTGAACAAGAACAGATAGAAACAGAAACATTTGACATTGAACAGTGTTTTGTGTTTGGGTCGGTGAACTAATGGTTCCATCGACCTGTAAAGTCCACGTTTATCATTCAGTCTGAGGCTCCAGTGACTCAGAACTCTGGATGTTCTCTGATGGAACCATTGAAACATGAATCTTTGTGGATTTTGGTTCTTTAATAGGTTTATTAAAGGTTTTCTGGAAACATGATGAAACCTGCTGGGTCATAAACATACAGACAAGAACCTGAAGCATCAGTTTGATGATGTAGAAAGTTGTGTTAATCAAATGTTCTCAGCTTCATGGCCTCCTAACTTCTCCTGAGTGGTTCTGATTGTCTCCAGCTGCTGACTCCTCTGATCCAGTTCAAACAGAACCATCTGATCCACTCATCAGACTCAGACTCTACAGTGGGAAAGTCTGAGGAGCTCAGCAGAGATCTGGAGAAGAACATCATCAGAAAGTCACTTGGAGCCGTTTCAGAGCAGCTTCAGAACCAGAACCATCAGTGTGTCAGCATGAAGCTCATGGTCCAGTTGTGTTACTGCCACCATCAGGAAGGAAACACAAACTAGCAGCTGCTGCTGAGAGACGACTGGTCAGGATAACATTTCTGTTTGTGATCCAGCAGGTGTCTTCATGTTTCCAGTAGATCTTCAATAAAACTCTGATTGTGTTTAGTAACAAAGACGTGAGCATTAATCCTCGGGGTTGTGTTCCAGGTGAGTCGCTTCAGTCCCTACGAGTGGCAGGGAGACGAGTCCGACGACGAGGATGAGACTCTGCCCTCCTCGGCCTCCCGGAGACCTCTGCCCACCTCCTCGTCTGAGCTCACTCAGTCTCCAGGTATCGTCATCACCATCCTGCTGTTCTTGTTTTGTAGCGTGGAACCTGGATGTTCCTCAGTGTGTTCTGTGCTGTTTGCTCCTGTCAGGGCTCTCCCAGAACCAGAACCAGCAGAAGGAAAAGGAGGCTCCAGAACACACCAATGACTTTGGGATCTTCAACTCTCTGTGGTTCTCTCTGGGAGCGTTCATGCAGCAGGGCTGTGACATCTCGCCCAGGTAGGTCACCTGAGTCCACCAGTCTGGTGCTGCAGAGCTTCTCACTGTGTGGTCCAAGACGAGGAGCTGCCACGTGAGCTAGACGTTACAGGAGCAGCTCTGGACCTCCGTACTTTGTGTTGTCTCAGTGTGAGGGTTTTGGCTCGTCCTCGGTCATTTCTTCTTGTGTTCTGGGGATGTTACGCCACTCGGACAATTAAAGTTGCATTTCTTTGAATCTTTGAAAAAAAATTGAAAAAAATAAAATAAAGTAAAATAAACGTGTGTCCAGGAAAAACAATCAATCAGTTCTTATAAACGGAGCTGATCCACGAACAGCAGAAACCAACCGTATCAGAGAAAGCTGCATCGGGTCGACACGAGTCGGCAGAATAAAAACAATAAACTCTGTCAGAACCAAGCCGGTGGTCAGAGAGAAATGAAAGTAAAGCCTGACCCGGTTCTACCGATGGACGTTCTCAGTGTTGATCATCTGGTGCTTCTAAACTAGAAGGTTTTTAGTTTAGTTTAGTTTTTTAAGATTTTTTTTGGTTTTTATTTGGGCTGCAGGTGGATCAGTGGTTAGCAGTGTTAGCGCCTCACAGCAAGAAGGTCGCCGGTTCACATCCCGGTGAGGACACCCGGGATCTTCCTGCGTGGAGTCTCCATGTTCTCCCCGTGCAGCGTGGGTTCTCTCCGGGTTCTCCGGCTTCCTCCCACAGTCCAGAAACATGCTGAGGTTAATTGGTGATTGTAAATTGTCCGTAGGTGTGAATGTGAGTGTGCTTGGTTGTCTGTCTCTAAGTGTAGCCCTGTGATAGACTGGTTACCTGTCCAGGTGAACCTGCCTTCACCCTGAGTCAGCTGGGATAGACTCCGCCCCCCATGACCCTGGTGAGGATGAAGGTGTGGAGATGATGGATGGATGGATGGATTTCATTTGATAGGACAGAGACAGAGACAAGAGGTGGGGGAGAAGAATGAAGGACCTGCAGCAGAGGGCCCTGAGCGGGAGTCGAACCCACGACCGCTGCGTCGGCCCTGAACATGGGACGCCCTGATAAACTAACCCTGATTTAGATCATTACAGATCAGGTGTTTACTGTGGTCTGTTTTATTTTAACATCCAGAACAAACAAACCAACAGCTCAGCAGAATCCAGATGATTAAACCCGTTTAGCCTCATCAGAACCAGTCGGTTTAACCGCCGGTCACGTTTCAGCAGAGCAGCTAACCTGGAGTCAGAACTGAAGGAGGTTTAGGATCCAGTCAGTCAGTCCTGAGCCCACGTTAGCTGTTCATCAGCACGTTAGCACGTTAGCATGTTTCAGGGCTGGACAGTGTGTCGGTGTATTAATGTGAGTCTCGTAGCTTTAGTCGTTGCAGCTGGATCAGAAAATAAGAAAACACATAAAGATTCAGCAGGAAGCCCAACACACACACACACACACACACACACACATACACACACACACACACACATACACACATCTATATATAAATGATGTTGAAGCCGTGGACGGCAGTTTGTTTGTGTTGAAGGTGAAGAACCCAGAAGGAACCCACTGATTCATTGGTCCGTTGTGATAAAACACTACATGCAGTCTCTGGGTCCGGCTGGTTCTCCTCAGTTCTCACCACAGTCAGGTGACAGAAGCTCACCTGGAGACGTCACGCCGGGAAACAGAGACGACACGTTTCAGTATTTTCTGTGTGTGTCCAGTCAGACAGAATCCAGGACCAATCTGGCTGCACCGCTCAGCTCGCTTTAGTTCTCCAGGACCCAGAACTACATCCTGTAAAAATGTTCTGGCTGAACTTGTAGAATTGAGATTCCTGTCAGACCCGTGAAGCCGTTTTAATGGTTCAGTATCTCCACAAATAAAACTCCAGCAGCACTGACAGAATAGTTTCCAGCAGATCAAATGATTGAATGCATCCAGCAGAGGACCCGTTTGTCATTACTGGACCCGTTTGTCATTACTGGACCCGTTTGTCATTACTGGACCCGTTTGTCATTACTGGACCCTAAACTGGGCACCGTGTTCCCACATGACTGTAAAACCCGCCAGAAATACCACAAGTCTGACTGTAGCTTGTGTTCCAGCTCTGTCCTGGTTCCTGGTGGTCAGTGATTCATCACCGAGCCGCTCTCAGACCTTTATTTATACCATGTGTGACTGACAGACTCAGACCTCATTAGCGTCCTGGGTTCTGCTCCGTGCTGCTGATCTTCTCTCAGGTTGTTCCCAGAGAGCTGATGCTGACTCTCCTCTCCTTCCTGGTTTAAACCCACAACTCTGCTCGAACTCTGAAAGGTCACATAAATAGGAAACACATGCCTGGTTTGATGGATCCGACCGGCGGGTCCGACCCAGGAGGATCTAAACCTCAGCAGATCAGTCTAACCAGCGGCGGACAATCGGTTGGAACGGACCGATACCTGTCGCTGTGAGCACATCTGATAGAATTCAGTCGAATAGCCATGTACGAGTAGCTAGCATGTTTCTCAGCTGGTTCCAGATAGCTCCTGCTAGCTCCTGGTATCTCATAGTACCTGCAGAGAGCTACTGCCTGGTTCTGTTAGTTAGCATTAGCTCTGATTAGCTTCTCTTTGCTCCATGTACCTGTCTCTGGTTACTTCCTGTTGGTGCCATTCAGCTCCAGTTTGGTCTGTTCGCTGACTCATGACAGGTCCTGTTAGCTCTTGTTGTTCTTGACATCTCCTCTTACCCACAGAAGGCTACAGATAGCTCCTCTGATGTCTCCAGATAGCGCCTGATAGTTCCAGTCGCCTACAGAAAGCTAAAAGTAGCACCAGTGTGTTCCTGTTAGCTCTGATTAGCTTCTCTTTGGCTGGTTACCTTCTGTTGGTGCCATTTAGCTCCAGTTTGTTTTTTTCAGCTCCTTTTAGAGTCAGTTAGCTTCTGTTAGCTTCACCTAGTTCATTTTGGCACTTGATTGATCCTGCTAGCTCTTGTTAGCTACAAAAGGCCTCTGGCAGCTCCAGAGAGCTCGTGGTTGCTCCCGTTAGGTCCTGACTGTTCCTCTTGGATGATGTTATGAACAGAAATCTGCCGTTAGCTGAAGCTGACCCTGATTAGCTCCTGCACATGCTCAGACCAAATCCTTTTTATTTTGTCCTTCTTTCGTCATGGTCAACATGTTTGTGTTTTTACTGTCGCGTACTGAACCACCAGGACAGACTCATGGTGTTAGCTCCTTTGTTCCCTGGTTTTTCTTGGTCACCCTTTTTAAACATCTCTCTTGTTTTTTTCATTCATTCCTGCTGCCTCCTTTTCTGGCTCTGCTGGTTGGACTCTTTGGACATTGTAAAGTGGTGTGATGATGCTGCTGTAAGATGAAGGTGTCGCCAGGTCTATCAGGGTTCATCCTCCAGGAGCCAGACACATGGGTGTTCTTGGAATAGCTCATCATCAGCCAGAGGACTGGTCCCACAGACTCTGGGATGATGTTGAACACAAGATCACCAAAGTCCTCTAGGAGGCTTTTATTTTGAAGACTGTACTGACGGTTCAGTCCCAGTAAATCTGCATGAGGTTGCGGAGGTCGTATTGTGCCGAGGCAGAAGTCACACCATGGATGAGTTACCGTCCATCGATGGTTCTCTGCAGGTCTCTGTCGGGTCGAATCGTGGGAGGAGTCTGGTGGTTCTTCACCCTCATCATCATCTCATCGTATACCGCCAACCTGGCCGCCTTCCTCACCGTGGAGAGGATGGTCTCGCCCATAGAGAGCGCCGAGGACCTGGCCAAGCAGACGGAGATCGCCTACGGTACTCTGGACGGAGGTTCCACCAAAGAGTTCTTCAAGGTGAGAACACGTCCTTCTTGCTTCATACAACATGATGATCTGGGGGCTGCAGTCAGCTGCTCCGTCCAGTTAGAGGCTCTCTGGTGGTACGTCCATCAGGACAAAGGCTCCATCAGGATTAGTCCATTATCTTTAAGAGCAGGAGGAACAGAACACCTGTGGACACCCCCATGTGTTCACCACTATGGACCGGTCCAACCTGATGGAGCCCGTTGGTGGAGCTTATTCAGTGTTTCCTGCCTTTGGTTTACACAGAGCAGCTCAGCAGCTCTGTTCTCAGTAGAACGTGTAACAGGCGGTTTTAGTGGAGCAGGTTGTAGGACTGGCGCCACCTGCTGTTTATCTCCATGAATCAGTCCAGTCTCAGGTCAGTCTTATTGGTACAGCACAGATTCTCAGCATCTCACAGTGAAGAGGTCACGAGCTTTGAACAGAGAACCCAACAATCCAAAGTAGCCTTCAGACTCCCTCTGAGCGGTGGGACGGAACCAGAAACCTCCGACAGAACCGGGCTCAGGGAAGGAGGCCATCTGGCTCGACTGGTTGGGTGGGAGTGGGGATGGGGGGGGTAGAAGATGGAGAGCAGCAGTAGAGCAGAACAATAGATGTTCTGGAGGTCGGTGAGGCCAGAAACCTCAGATCAGAGACAGTGCAGAGTGAACAGTTAGTCAATGTGATGGTGTGTAGAACTGTATGGAGAGGAGACGAGCCCAGTGCATCATGGGAATCAGTCTGAAGCTACAGCAGCATCACTGAGGGACAGTCCAGGTGATCCTGAGCAGCTCTAACTATCAGCTTCATCACAGAGGAACGTTTTCATCCTGACCTTAAAGCACAGAGGGTGTCCGCCTCCAGAACCCAGACTGGGAGCTGGTCCACAACAGAGGAGCTGATAGCTGAAGGCTCTGCCTCCCATTCTGGTTCTGGAGACTCTGCAGTAGACCTGCAGACCAAGCAGTGAGGCTGAAGCCTTTAAATCCCAGAAGCAGCAGTGTCTGCAGGGTGATGTCTGTTTCTTCCTGCAGCGCTCCAAGATCGCCGTGTTCGAGAAGATGTGGTCGTACATGCGCAGCGCCGACCCGTCGGTGTTCGTCAAGAACACCAACGAGGGCGTGATCCGGGTCAGGAAGTCGAAGGGCAAGTACGCCTACCTGCTGGAGTCGTCCATGAACGAGTACATCGAGCAGAGGAAGCCCTGCGACACCATGAAGGTGGGAGGAAACCTGGACTCCAAGGGCTACGGCGTGGCCACGCCCAAAGGATCTCCGCTCAGGTAGGACGTGGAGGCGTGGCTGTGTTGGTGTCGTCCTGTGGCGTCTGTTTCTGTGGAGGTCAGAGCAGCGCAATATATCACTGACTGATATATTATTGGCTGCTGCGTAAACCACATGGTCAGGACTGTTCTGATAGTGAGCGCTGCAGCGCCCCCTGCTGTGTGGACGTCTGCAGTTTATTCACATGTGAAACAAGCAGAACCAGTGAACCTCTGAGCCATCAGGAGAGAGGACAGCTAGCTCTAAGGCAGAAGGTGATTTAAAGCTTCACTGCTTTAGTTTTAGTTGGACTCTGGTGTTTAGAACAGGACGAGTCTCAGCGAGCTCTCTGATGTTCATGGTGCTCCTTTAAGCCTTCTGGGAAGGTGGAGGAAGATGAGGGAGATGGTTCCTCTCTGCCTCCATGTTTCCTTCTTCTGGAGGACGAAGAGAACTTTCCTTTGTCCTCTTCATCTTCTATCTCCTCCAGAGAAGGAACAAGTGGAGCATCCTGTTTGTATTCATCCTGAAGAAGATGAATCAAACAGAGCTGAAGAGGAATCATCTTCATCCTCCTGCAGCAGCAGAGGACCAATCTCATCCTTCGTCTTCATTCTTCTCCAAAAAAAAAGGCAGAGTTAGAAATGCAGAGGGATGAAGTCAGCGTCAGAGGAAACCGCTTCATATGGACTGTTAGCGTAGCTTCAACTGGTCCAACCTTCAGAGCAGAACCACCAGAACTAACGTGAAGATTAAGGAGGAGGAAGTGCTGGAGTTCAGTCTGCAAACTGTGACGTCTGCACAACACGGAGCCGCTTCAGACGGACTCGTTTCTGGTTCTGTGGCTGGAATATGTAACATCTGGAGGCCAGTCTGTGGGTTTGTTTACTGTCTGTGTGTCTGTCTGTCTCTTAATCTGTCTGTCTTGTCTCTCTCTCTCTTGTTTGTCTTTGTCCACATGTCTGTCTGTCTGTCTGTCTGTCTGTCTGTCTCTGCATCACCAGAATACTGACTACAGTCTAACTCCACTCTGTGTGTGTGTCTGTGAGCTGCTGGCAGGTAAAACCTGGTTTAGATCCAGTCTGGCTGAGGCTCGTCTGAAGGCGTCCTCCTGCTCACCCAACACAAAACTCGTGATTCAGCTGCTGAGCCAACAATGTTCAGTCAGTGTCAGGTTCTTATGAATGTTGTGCTGCTGCCGCCCTCCTGGTGACAGACGGACCGACACTCATGAGTCTGAACTCAAACGGCTTCAAACAGAGCAGAACTCTCTGACTGAGGCTGTCACACGGTTCTGGTTCTTTTCATCAGACTTCTGGACTAAGGCCGACTGTTTTCTTCTATCAGCGTCGTCCAACTTGTCAGACATTTATGACATATTTTCTGTCATTTTGAAAATATTTTCCTACATTTTAATCCTTCTTTGACATTTGATTGTTTTCCAACATTTCATCAATCGTATCAAACAACCTTTCAATCATTTTAATCAATACTTCCGTCATATTCTGAATCTCTTCGATGTTTTCAGACTTTTCAGCAACACTTTAACACATTTTATTAAGAATTTCTTTGCTTTAATAGTTTTCATTTTTTTTCTTTTTTTCTGACATTTCATGAATATAAATGATTTTAATCATATTTTTGAACATTATATCAACATCAACATGTTACAGGTCAGAGAGACGATATGTGTGAATAAACACAGACTTAAAACCCGTGAAGCAGAACAACGTCCACGTCGCTCATCACCGACTCAGTGAAGCTGCTCTGATCATCGACGGGTCGGTTGAACTCTTTCAGCTCCTTCAGTGGATGTTTTCTGCTTTCTTTGCTCCTCTGACAGTAAACTGAACGTTTTACAAACCAAACCATGAATCCCACTGATCTCAGACTGGTTGGTTTACCAGCCTTGCAGCTCAGCGGTTGTTGTTCTTGGTCGTGGCTCCGTCAGCGTCCAGGCCTGACGGGACCGTTGGGGTCGTTTTACTGGGTGGAGGACGAACAGACCAACCTGAGTCAGAGCTAAACAGAGTCTGAGTGTTTTTTCCTGACAGCAGCTTCTGAAAGTCATGTTCTCTCCTCGTCTTTGTTTCAGACATCAGTGGACTGATGCATCCATGTTCTTATCAGATGTTCTGTAAGAGAACATCCTGTTCTCATTCTTTCTGCCTCACATCAGCGTCGTAGCGCCGACCCAGAGCGGCAGACAGCTCCACGCTCACACTGTCTAATCACTGCTAACTGCTGGTTCCACGATTGTGAGAACAATCGGCCGGCCTGCGTTACAGAGAAACTCTTTCAGGTCCTAAATCATTTACCGTTTCTGAAAAACAGAACCCGAAGCAGTCCGTTAGTGATCCGTTGCTTAGCAACACAGTCGAGTTAAAGCACTGAATGCTGAGCGTTCTGAGCATCAGAGCTCTGGGTCGGCCCGCTCTCAGCACCAACAGATGACAAGAAATAATTCAGCCGCTTCATTTCATCTGCTTCCTGCTGCAACCTAACGACGACTGTTTCTGCTTCAACCCACCATCTGGAGAGTCTTGTTCCAAAATGACAGCGTCTAGTCAGACCTGGGACTAGAGCCAGCAGGAGGCCCTGTTTGGATGTCAGAGTAGGGCTTCCCTTCTAGTCCAGGTGAGATAATCCAGCCCAGACTGGTGCACACTGGTGGCCAGCAGGGGGCGGCTGTTCCCTCAGGTAACGGTTTCCTGATGAGTTTATGGTCTGTAGCTTCCCTTCACACATGATGTCCATGTAGTGAATGAAGGTTCTGTTTAGAGGACAATCAGAGAAGATGGTCTCTCTGGAGGCTTTAAGCAGCCATTGACCAACCACTGGGTGGCGTCCTGATGTCCAGTCTATGTCCAGATGTTACACCTCTATGCTGCTGACTCCCAGCCTGGACGTTAGATCAGCTGATCATCAGACATTCAGCCTGAAACATGAAGTCACAGCTCTTTCCTGCTGACGGGCCTTTAAAGCTGCTCAGCTGCTGTCCTACTAACCCAGCTCTGACCCGACCTCGTCTATGGACCCAACCTTCAGCTGTTTATAACTGTGCAGCACCGCGGCTCAACTCCTGCAGTTCTGAGTCAATCTGACTGAAGTGGACTTCACAGCGTTCTGTACCAACAGACCTGTCGCTCAGTCACTGATCATCAGATATACTCAGTGTGGTGGTCATTACTCATTACACATGTACCACAGAACCAGCTCAGCTACTTCGTCTTAGTAGACTCATCTGGAACCCATCAGCTCTGGTTGGAGGTCCTGAACCTCCTCAGAGTCTCTGTCATGGTCCCGGTGCTGCTGAACTCCCACAATGCTCTCTGCTGCCACCATGAGCTGATGTATGTCCACTATCTTCTCTTCTTCTCTGGCCGCTACGGTATGAACCCATAACATTGTCTTACCCCCCCAGATTTAATCAGTAATTAGTAACAAACCTTCTCGACCTTCACACTTCAATGGTCAGATGTCAAACCACTTTAAGTGGCTTAAACCTCCTTAAACGTCTCTGTGTATCATCTGCAGAGGTTTTTCCATGAAGTCTATTTGCTACACAGTGAACAGTGGTCAAACATGTTCTTTGTGTTTACAGACATGGACCATGAAGCAGAGCAGATGCCTGCAGCTTCCTGAGCTTTGTTATAGGGGAGGTGAGGATGTGTTGACGATAGAGGACAGACATGTCAGTACATGTACCATAGACCAGCTGTAGTACCTGGTTGTTCCACCAGGTGGAGCCTCTTCCTGTTTAATCCTGTAGAGACCAGAGGAGGCGACACTCAGACGACTAGCTTCAGCCAGACTTTAGCAGCGACGGGACCATGGCAGAGACTCTGAGGAGGTTCAGGACCTCCAACCAGAGCTCTTATCTTCCAGACTTCAACAACAGCAGCCCGACAACACGGCGGTGAATGAAACCAGTCAGCTAGCGTGACCCGTCCACGTTCGTAGGCACCTGTATCGGCATGTTAAGACCTTCAGGTGTGATTGATTACTACCTGATAGCGCTGATGAGCATCAGAAGTCTGAACCTGTGTTGGAGTCTGTCTTCAGTCAGCTGCAGGTGTAAAGTGTAAAACACTGCCGCGGTGTTGACAGCTTGTCTTACTCATGATTAGAAACACAACATGTTAGCACAGCACATGAGTTGACTTCCACCAGTGTAGACGTGTTGGGTTCCTCTGATGAAGGGATCAGAGTCGTAGCGCCCAGACGGACATCCCACCATACAGAATAGCACACTGAATAGATCAACCTGCTGAGACTGGGTTGGATGATCCAGGAGCAGGTTCATGTTTTCATCACTGGTTCCAGTGACAGCTGGTAACTGGTTCCCTCTGTGGATCCTCCAGGTCCTGGAAACGCCGGGCCTGTGTTGTTTCTGTCACGACTTCTCTCCTGTGCAGTTTTAGAACAAAACTCTTCTGCTGCTCCCATCACATGGCCCGTCCTTCCAAACAGCTGACTGCCCATTGATCATGGTATTGATTAGCCATTGCCATAGCAACATCAGCTACCTTCTGACCATCACTGGTCTGTGAAGGGGAACAACAGCCGACGTTTTTATGCAAATCCTCACTCATCTTTAGCTCCAACGTCTGAACACGTGACTGTTGTTCCTCCTCTACTTGTCGATTGAAGGTTCGACCTGCAGTCGTCAGAACCAGGATCCATTCTGCTGCTTTTCAGCCCACAGCAGAACAAACGCTGTTGGTCTCACAGGCAGCTGGAGTTTGGATGAGCTCACCTTTGTGCTGCAGCTGGACTCTGCTCTACCTCCCACCAGTGGGACCGTCTGCTCACTGACCTGGACTCCAGGTGTTCTCTGGCTCTGCTTTATGTGTTTTATATGCATTGATTGTATTTAAGCTTTGACTCTTCAGTCAGGCTTGTTACTGACGTCCTGGTCGATCCGAGCAGCACCGGCATGTATCTGGACACGACAGCTAAGCTCCAGATGAGGATCTACAGCAAGTTTGATTTGACCGGCAGGTGTGTTGTGGCTGGAAGACACGTGAACGAGTGACAGCAGACATCATGCTGGAGATGAAACGGTCACAGATACGTGACAACATGCAGCTTCTCCAGCGTCCTGGTGAACATGTTCTAGAGCACTTAGAGAGAGGACAGCTGGTGCAGCAGCTGCTGGTCAGCTACAAGTCAAGGCTGAAACCAAAGAGTCGAACGAGGACCTCCGGCCAACAGTTGTTCAGGTCCAGGAGCTCCACACTGTGGAACATCTCAAAGGGCTGCAGAAGATCTGAACTGTGCAGACAGAGTGGAGAAGAAACGATGAAGAGAAAACCAACGGTCCAGACCTGGATCTGTGGAGGACCTGAAGACCAGAAGCTTCGACCGCAAAGACCTGGAGACACCGAGAGGAGCACCGAGACACAACACAGCCTCAAAGAGACACAGCAGGACCACATGAGACCAACAACAAGCACAAACGTGGCAGCGAGCTGCAGGCTTCACCATCACCAGCGTGACATCTCCAACACGACGTCTTCCAGTCTGTTGTCACTTGTTCATGTCGTTTCCGACCAGGAGAGACCTGCTGGTCACATAAAGCCCTGAAAGTCTGAGTTTAGGTTGAATCATCTTGGCTCTAACTGAGTGATCCTTTGTAGTCCAGAGAAGGTCAGAAACCACATCAGGAGAATGAGACTGTTGATCTGAATCGTGCTGCTTCAGTAGCTTTTTATAACGAGACACTTCAAGCTAACAAAGCTGATGACATGCAGCTGGTGTCCAGTGGGTCCATTCTGTTCTGGTACCGTTAGCATCAGGTTCAGATGGAGCTCTGGTGATACTGGATGACGTACAGTCACAGTGTGAGCTCACAGTTTACTCAACCACAGGACATTTATCTGGACGTTATTCAGTCCTGCATCACCTGAACGCTGCCAGCAGAAGTCCTGAGCAGACGGTGCTGTTGTGGTGAAGCGTGACCCAGACCCCTGGTTCGGTCCTGTAACCCAGTCCAGCTGCAGTCGTCCAAACTGATCTGCCTGGACGGACCTGTGAGGGCTGAAGAGCAGCTCCAGCCTCCATCCATCACCTCCACCATGTTACTGTGTTCACTGTGACGCCCGTCTGCTCTTTAACACGCCTTGTTGTTGCTATCGTCCCGTAGAAACCCTGTTAACTTGGCAGTGTTAAAACTGAACGAGCAGGGCCTGTTGGACAAATTGAAAAACAGATGGTGGTATGACAAGGGCGAGTGCGGCACCGGGGGAGGGGACTCCAAGGTCAGATCACCGTGACCCCGACGGGTAACCAAGGCAATGGCACACCGGGGTAACCGGCAACAACGCAGCAGCAGCAGCAGCACCGCAAGCACTCCGGCAGCAGCCAGCACCTCCGGGTGGCGCGCCACCGGTCCTCAGGGCCTTCACTGGACAAGGAGTTAATGACCGCCAGAACCGAGGCGTCGCTGAAAGGCAGCAACGTGCAGCCAGCTTCAAATTAACCTGCAAGATAGACAAGGATGGACGAGTTCAAAAGGCCTGAAAACAAAAGCTGGAGTCAGAGCAGCGGCTCAGATGTAGCCTCTTAGCATGTTAGCATGTTAGCATATTAGCATGTTAGCCTGTTAGCATGTTGACGGCTTTAACGGAAGGTTTTACACCAATCTGCTGTTTCTCTCTTTGATTAAAATACAAATAACACAAACTGGTCATTTACATATTAACCAACCACAACAAGGTCACAGCAGTCCAACACTATTACAAGACAATAACACAATAATAAATCTATAATTTACATGTTCACTGCTGGAAAAAAATCTAAACAGGCAGAAATCTGTGTTTTTACAAACACTGAGACAGTCTGGATTAGAAACAGATTTTACATATTAAGAATTAGATTTTATAGAATTTGTCTGTTTTGTTAAATTAGAGCTAATATCTGGTAAAATCACAGATTAAATATTAATGTCGACTGTAACGAGGACAGAAGCTAAACAACGTCCACATTATAAACCATCTTTAACGACCAGTTAAAGGTAATGACGAACACGTTTACACAACATTACAGCCGGCTGCCCTGTTAACGGGCTCCTGGTATTTATTGTTATTTGGAGCAGTTGTTCATCCCAGACTGAAGTCGAGGCGTTATGAGTCCTGAAGGACTTGTGCCAGACATCGCTCACGATAGAAGTACATGAGTAACACGTGCTCATCACAGCGATGAAGCTGAATGTGACGGACCAGACGAGGTCCTCGATGAGGTTGTGATGTTAGGAACTAGATCAGAGGAACCAGGTCTGTGTGGAACTGACTCCATGCACACCAGCGGTTCCGTCCAGTGGATGCCCTGCTGGATTGGTCGGCTGCTAAATGACGGACGTCCTTCAGTCCAAACCCTAAAACCTGAAGCTCTGACCCGGTCCTCTCACGGCTGGCTTCCTGGTTCTGTACGAAGCCCCGTTGCTCAGATCCGGAGTGCTGCAGCTCTTGCCGGTTACCCAAAGTGATATAGTAATACACATCTCGCACGTAGGGAGTCAGGCCGACGCAGGCTAGATGGAGTATTAACGCATATCACTTTGACGCTGACATTTTCCAAATAGACTTTTTCTGTGTGTTTGTGCCTGTTTTGGGTTGTTTCTGTTGTTTTTGTTGAGCTGTTCTCTGTAGCAGCGTCTCTGCTGCTGACGCCTCTTTAGTAAAGCGGCTGCTGCCGCCGCTGCAGCAGCTGAACAATAACATAAGATAACATGGAGGTGCATAATGTTATTTATGTTATTCCCACCCCCCACCCCCTCCTCTGAAGAATCCCAGTAAACCTAGCAGTACTGAAGCTCAATGAACAAGCCGTCTTAGACAAGTTGAAAAACAAGTGGTGGTATGACAAGGGGGAGTGTGGACACAAGGACTCCGGCAGAAAGGTCAGTTCTGGAGGTCGCCCGGCCTCCGCCAAGGTCATGTGTTGGTTTTACCCCCCACCTGCCCCCACCTGCCCCCCACCTGCCCCGTCCTCCGTCAGACCCCAGCAGGTACACTCTGAAAGACCTTTACGCTCCAATCACCCTCCGAGGTGAAGCAGTTCCACCGACGTCACCGTCTCTGGCAGCACCTCCTCCTGTCAGGCTGGTGCTGTCCCATTCTATCTGATCCACTTTGATCACGTCTAAAGGACCATCTATTAACAATCATACTGATCAATACGGGTTTTTACGGCGTCTGTGACCAGTGGTAGATGAGAGGATTGGACTACAGCCGGCAGCTGGTTGGTTGGTTCAGCTGTTCCTGCTGTTGGTGGTTCCACACCGACACGCTGTCAGAGGACTGCAGCTGGAAGGTTCCTGATGTGGTGATGCTGAAGGACAACCAGCAGAAAGGTGGATTAGTGTCAATGTGAGCACGTCACAATCAGGCAGGGAGAAGAAGGCTCCTGGACCGGGCAGCACCGCCTCCCCACAGGCAGGAGATGTGAGCAGGACGCGGGCTGGAGGAGGACTAACTGGCTGCTCCTGGTCCAGGCAGGGAGGTGGAACCGATGATGACGTATGGTTTCATCTACGTTTCCATTCTGAAAACCCGACGTAGGCTGAGCTTAATGCCCACGTCTACACCGCTGTAGAGACTTCAGGAAAACAGTGACCGGGTCCAGCCAGTCCCTACGAGTCCTCCCGGATCCGTCCTGTCACACGACCACACGAAACCAGAACCGGACATGGACCATGGATGACGGTCATGTGGTGCGTTATGATGAGCTGTTTGGTCTCTAAGATGTTCCAGGATGTGGATCAGCTCATGAAGACACGACCCAAACATGGTTTACGTCTGACAGCGTATTCGTGTGGATGTGGCCTCTGAGGAGGGACGATCCAGGAGGTTCATGAGGAAGATCTGCTGCTCCTTTAAAAGTTGATGCAGAGTGAAGGTTTTTCTAGACCTCAGGGTCGGACTAAACCCTGCCTAACGAGTTCACACGAAGGTAAACGAGCTTCAGCTTCTTCAGCTTTCTCCTGATGAGTCGCTGTTTTATCGTCTTCCTGTCGGGTTCTGCTGGTTTTCGCTTCGTTTAGAAAGAACCAACAGCCTGAACCCACCTGTTAGTGAAGAACTGAAGCAGGTTTCTGTTCTGAACCAACCGGCTGCAGCTGTAGCTCCATGTCCAACATGTACACCACGTTCAGACGTGTGACTCGGTCGGTTCTGTTTTCAGAGTGTATCGCTGCTGCTCGGCCCACCGTCCTGCAGAACTGAAGGTTGAATCAATTAAACCCGTCCCAGAGTTCTGATGGCAGCAGAAACCCCTCGACTCCAATCTGCACGTCCACAGAGCAATGTGCTGAGCGCTTTTTTTTTTTTTTTTTTAAACTTGCTTCAAAGACAAATTTATGCAAATTGATGAGCGGCGGCGCCGGGCTTCACTCGCCTCTGACAAAGCAGACTTTTTTGGAGATAAGGGGTTCTGGTGTCTCCAGATCAGGAATCCATCAGAGGCTTTTCTCTGCTCAGCTTCCTTCTGTTCTGCAGAATAATCTGCGGTCAGCACAGTCGGCCGGAAGCAGCCGCAGACAGACAGACTCGGGAAAAATCTGACTTTTTACTTTTCCGTTTGTGGCCGTGAATCGTGACGGCCTTCAGGTGGACACTCGGTCCTCCTGGGCGGCACCAAAACACTGTTTCTGAGTTAAAGAAAGAGGCGACTGACAAACGGAGCTGGAGGAGAAGCCCCGCACACATCAGATTTAGTAAAATGTCAGATTTTCCAGACGGCGTCCTCGTGTCTCTGCCGTCTCTCTGTTTCTGGCTGCTGACCAGCGCTGATGGACTCGGCGCCGCTGACCACAGCTTCCCTCCTCCCTCTGCTTCCCACTCTTTTGTCTCCAATCTGTCACGTACCTCCTGTTTCCTCTGAGCTCGCCGAGCAGCCGACCGTCACTAACAAACGGGGAGAATGTTCATCAGTCTGTCGACCAACGGCGGCTTCAGCGTCAGACTGAAACCTCGCCGGTGACACTGAGCCCCGAACAGAACCGGGTTCGTCCTAAACGCTCCTCAGCGGATCGATGATCAGCACCATCAGCATCACCCAGAACACGGCTTCATAAATAAGCAGCTGGTGAAGCTCTTAGAGACCGTTTCACATCTCTCCATATAAGACTTTTCTAAACTGCTGCGTATTTTATTCTTCTCGGAGTAATTAAAGGTCTCCAGTAGATCACATGTTATATTCAGGATAGACGAGGAAACCTGTGAACAACAGAAGGTGCAATAAAACCGTGTTGGCTCTGAAATGTACAATAAAGGTGCCACATGGTTGCTATGTTCAGGCTGAACACAGAGCGAGTGGTGAGCGTACAGGAGGACGACTGGCTCAGGCTCAGTGGCTTCCTCACATTAATACCACTGGAGCCGAACTTCCAGTCAAATACAACCTAAAGCGAACCGCCTTTTATTTCTGTTTTACAGGAAACAACAGCGACTGTTTGAGATTTAAGATGTTTTTAAATAAAGCTTCACTGGTTTGAAGACCAAAGCAGAACAGAAAGAACCAAAACAAACACGTCTTTATGTGCGAAGCTCTTCAGGAACATACGCGACTTCTCATAAGCATGAGAGAATTCTGCTGTAGAGGTTTGGTTCTGGTGGATTCTGGTTCTGATGGTTTAACATACCAACATATTAAAATAATGTTCAGGTCAGACTACATCGGTCCTCGTCTCTGGTTTGTTCTTCAGCTAATGAAAGAGCAGAACCAACCATGACAGCTGCTTCCTGTGCAACAGAACACCCGACCCGACCCGTCCTCTGGCTGAGCGCTGAGATAAGAGCAGAGTTATTGAACAGAACTAATCATCTCTCACGTGTCAGAGTCCAGAGGAAGAAAAACCAACAGTTCCACTGAATCTTCACTTTATTGTACATTTTATTGACACTACTACCGACTGCCACCATAGAAACGAGCTGCGACGATTACATAACAGCTGACCGACCGGACCGACCGAGCCAACCGGACCGACCGGGCCGATCGGGCCGACCGGGCCGACCGGGCTCTTACAGCTACAGGACGTTGTTTTACCAAATTAAGACTCTATTAGGTTAAAAAAAAGAAGCATATAGTCTTGTAGAAAACAACCGATTCTTGCCATGTAGAGGATCATGATGCGTTTATTTTAGCTCTGCCACGTTGAACCCGGCTCGGCTGACTTCAGTCTGACGTTGAAGTGTCCTCTGCTGCGATTGGCCGAGGTGAACGTGACAGTGTGGAGAGGAAAGCCCCCCGATAGGCTCACAGCCCTTCCTGTTGACGCGAAGCCCCGCCCACTGCCAGTGCTGTTTCCTGCTGTGTGTTTTGAACCGACTGCATGCTAGTGGATGACAAAGTCCCGGCCTCCAAAGCTACGACATGCATGTGACCGAAGAACACGGAGCCACTGATGTCATGCGCACTCAGAGCTCAGCGGCCAATCAGATCCCCAGGAATGTTTTCAGAGATAGCAGCGTAAAACCGAAGCGACTGAGCCAGGCTGCTGTGGAGAACCTGTGAAACAAATGTTTAAAGGCTTTCTAGACAAGAGAACTTCTTTGTTTTGCCTCCTTCTGTTTGCATTCTTCTGCATGACGCTGCATGCGACCAACACGGAGCGTCAGAGGCTGCAGCTGGAGGCAGCAGTGCAGGAAGTCAGAGGAACACATGTATATATATAATGTTCCATAAAACAAGACGTTTGGTCCCTATTGTGGCTGAAGCACCAAAACAAAACACTACATTTCCCACGATGCAGCTGATGTTCATGGAGCTGAGACGGGTTAGGAGTTTGAGCTTTTCCTGGTTTTGGTCCGCAGGTTAAACCCCATCTGGACCTTTAAATGGACCGAACATGCAGCAGGAAGGTTTGAACGCTGAGCTTAAAGCACTGATACAGGATGAAGACATGCTACAAAATAAAGAACCAACAGTTCAATGAGCTAATAGATGCTAAAGACGATGAATAAACATTTTTACAGGTCAGGTGGTTGCATTAGACGTCTGATGGTAGCTAGCAAATCGCTGCATGCGGTAGCTAAAGCTCACGAATAAAGAGTCAAATAGACGAAATAAAAATAGTTAACAGGAAGAGGTAAACAGGTGGAATGAGTGCTGACAGCGATGAGAAAACAGCAATTATACAACAAAGAAAAATAATAAAATGATGGAGCAAATGCTACGGCTAATAGCTAGCAGACGGCTAATAGCTAGCCATCGGTTAAAACTGATGGAAAATGAACGGAGCAGATGCTAAAAGTTACCCATTTAAATAAATAATCAAGTTAAAAGCCAATGGATTGTTAATCCCAAACAGTTACAGCAATGAATTCATGGAAACATTTCAAAAGCAGCTGGAGCTGAGAGATAAATGTGGTTTCTCACTGAGACTAACATTAGCACAGCATCAGTGTTTGTGATGACTCATAAATAAAAACCAAACTAAAAGTGGACTTTGTTGAACTTCTTGTTTTGCAAAAACATAGAATAGAACAGAGTGCTTTTTTTAATTTTTTAAATGTATTGTCATCATACACAAGGTACAGCGAAACTAAAAGACAACTCCAGTGGTGCAGAAGTACAAAAGTAAAAGTACAAAAAGACAAATAAGAACATATACATGTATTTACAAAAGGAGCCAGTAAGACGTATGTACAGTTAGCCAAAGGGTAGAATAAATATATAATAATGTAATATACATATAACACTGTGGATATATGAGAAATATAAATAATATAAATAAGGAATTATTAAAGTA